AGAATTAAACATAACAACACTAAAATAATCAAACACAACAACACTAAATTTTCTTGAGCATAAATTGCCCAAACTAGGAACTATCACACATGTTTGTGAGCATAGATAATAGGTTGACATAAATAATGCAACTATGTGTACCATTGTTGCATTATTAGTAACACCATCACCACTTCGTTGCCCAGTGTTAGAGCTTGATCCAACCTACAAACAACCATTATCAAGTTTTTAGTTAAAGAAAAAAAAAAGCATACATGTAAGCTAAATACAATTGATAAGTTTACACTCACATCTGAAGTCCATCTTTTTCTTTGGCCTTTTCTTATCCTAATTGGACCCCTTTGACACGTCCTCTTATTGTGGCCATACTCTTTGCAATTTACACATCGAACAGTACAAGATCTTTTAGACTGAGTGGATGGGGTAACTTCATCTACCTCTCTTCTTCTATTTTTCCTTGGCCTTCTAGGGAGTCTTCTTAATGGTGGTGGAGAAAGCTGAGATGAAAAGATGCCATCTAACTGAGGCCATAACTTGACATCAGGAATGGGGTGAATCATTTCACCATAAGCCTTGAGATATGTATCCTTGTAATAGCATGGATCACAAAAATCTTCAAGGTTTTGCCTCTTATATGCAATGCCAACAGCAGCATGCTTGCAAGGTATGCCACTGATATCCCAAACTCTACATTCACAAGTCCTCTTACCAATATCAACTACATAATCAAATAATCCATATGTGATTTGAAATTCATCATGACCAGCCAATAAGTGGGTACATTTTCTTGATTCATGCTTGACGGCATTCAACTTCTCTACAACTTTTGGTGTCACAGAGTTATACCAAGTACATGCCTTTTCAAACCTTTTTTGCAACCTACTCATGAGTTTTGCCCTCAGACTTTCTAGCAAAATTAGTATAGGTTTTTCCCTTAACTCCCCAACCTAGGTATTGAATGACTCACTCAAATTGTTTGTCACACGGTCACTTTTCACAGAAGTGTCAAAAGCATGCCTTGCCCACATTGAGGTAGGCATTTCTTAGAAGCCATGCAAATGCTTCAAGCTTCACTTCCTTAATTTTCTCTAAGGCAAAATTGAAGTCTTGTTGAGTGTACGCCCTTGCAGCCTTCCAAAATAAGCTCCTTAGAAGTATCCCAGAGAAGGTTGCCCTAAAATTATTATAAATGTGCCTACAACAATGTCTACTAAAGGCATGTGGCACAATTTGATTAATGGCCTCCTTGCAACCCTGCATGCATAAGCATTTTAAAAGCATTAGGGAACGATAAGTACATATGAAACTGCATAAAGAAGTATTTAAAAAAAGAAACAAAATACCTTATGTTTATCAGTCATGAAGTTTTGTGACTTAACCTCTAGGAACCCATCTAACATTTCACTAAGCCACTCAAAGAAAAAACATCAAATGTCCTTTTTTTCTGCTTCCACAACAGCAAATGCAACTGGAAACAAACCATTATTTCCATCTAGTCCAACCGCGGACAAAAGCACACCTTTATAAGGCCCTTCAAGTGGCACCCATCAAAACCTAAGAAAGCCCTACACCCATTTATGAAACCTTGCATAAGAGCAGCGAATCCAATGAAGATTCTCTTGAAAGATGGAGAAGCTGCCAAGTTATCCAGCTGGAAATGGATCTTCACAATGCTACTCGGGTTTGTTTGATTCACCAAATGAGCATATGTAGGCAGTCTTCCATACGAATCGCCATAGTTACCCTGAATCCATTCTAGAGCCTTCTTTCTTGCCCTATACAATTGCATCCTAGGAGGTTGCACTCCATATTTTTTCAACTCTTCCCTCATTCCTAAAACTGTCATGTTAGGATTGGGCCTTAACATATTCACTAGTTTTTTGGCAATCCATGGGGCATTTGCTTCCTTGGGTTTGGAATTCCTAACATAACTATGGATAAAATTATGTCTTTATCTTGTAAGTAAGCATATCAGGTAAAAGAGAAGCATGTATCCTCCAAGGGCATCCCTCAACCCCACAGTGTGTTGTTACCCTCTTCTTTTCATTTTTATCTCTGACCAATGGGAATCCCTCTTGAATCACATACTCTTTCAATGCATCTCTAAATGCATTGATGTTTTGAAATAACATTCCTGCCTCAAATTCAATTTTTTCACCTTCCCTGACATTGAATATTTTACCACAAAGTGAAGCATCCAATGGGCCATCCTCAAGCTCATCATCAGAATCTACATGCTGCCCACCCTCACTATTTGACTGATAATCTGACAGTGGTCCACCATTTGCCATATCATCTGTATCTCTCTCAATATCCCCTAACTCTACATCACTCAAACCAATATCACTTTCAGTGTGCACACACCACCCATCATCATCACTAAATTGTAACTGCTCATCCTCAAACCCAACTTCTTCCTCATCACCATTACTTCCTTCATTCCAAGAGAGTTGGGGATTAGGAACTTTCACAGCTAAAAGTTGTTGAAATTGGACATCTTTGATATACAAGTGAATCATTGCACAATTGCTGTGTAACTTGAACATCTCAAGGACATCAGCATCAGTTCTTATACCCATTTCTTGAGTGGTCCCAGGGATAGAACAAGTCAATGTTATAAAAGTGTTTATGGCAGAGAGAACATCTTTTAATGCCACGTCACACAAATCACTTAACAAGTTCAAATAAAAGTACTTATCAGGGTCAATATTCTTCACAAAAAATTGATCTGCTAAGTAATGCACAACAAGGTCATAGTAGCAAATATTCGCCATCCTACAATTGAACAAATCAAAACAATAATTTCATGAGAACAATTTGTCAGATTATAAACAAATAGTGGAATAAGGAAGCAACCTTTAAACATTATTGCATGGATACAACAAAGTAGGATTTCACCTGATACTTCTTATAAATAATAGTATATTACAAACGTGAAACCTTAATTGGTTATTAAAAGATACACCAATCATTCAAGTTCTCTAACATAAACTATCCCCTTTGTAAAGCACCAGATGTCTTTGTTTTCTAACGTTGGTTCATGGCAAGAGGAAAGAACACAAGTGGATCGTCAACTATTGGCCAACCAGTAACCTCGGACCATCTCTAGAGCGTATATGTACAAGCTAGAATGCAGAGATGTCACTAATCTCTATCTAAATAATCATAACATGTACTTAAGTTTAATTGGAAAACTACAACTAGTCGATAATACAGTCTTATCAGTTATCTTAGTCGTGAAGACAATGAAATTGATAATTTTACACAAGCTAGGATCTAGGTATTCCTGATGCCAAGCAGTTTGGAGTGGGGTTGTGCTATTTGAACAATAATTGAAGCATTATGTATTCCTCGCAACGATCTGAACTAAAAGAATTATGCATACTTCTACCGCAATGTTACTTAAATCATTGTTCCCCGAACCTAAAATGAAATTCCGTACTCATCCATTACCTTTCTTTCAACTTCGGGTCATGAATCTTGGGGCATGGTCCTGATGCAAAGCAACACAACACAAAAGTATTGTCAGGGAAAAAAAAAATTAAGTTAAATTGAAGGTTTTGCAAATTTCACCAACTATACCGAGCTAGAACAACTAATGGGCCGCACCAAACCACAATTATATTTTATCTTAGCTTCTCCTATGCTTCCTCATCAACCAATCAAAGAATCTAAGCAAATTTAATTCGATAAAATAAATGCACCTAGGTCACTTGGGTGTTCATGAAGAGATCATGCGGACAAAATCGAACCATATAGAATCCACAAACCTCCTTATCATCCCATTTGACTTCCTTGTACCCTTTTTTCTCTTCTTCAGTTAGATTTCGGGCTATACATAAACAAACGAATGAAGCACAAAAAACAAGCAACAAAACAATTAAATCAGATCAAATTCAAACAACCAAGTCAAATACAAATGGGGATTTTCGGGCCACAAAATCAAAGAGTATTTCAAGAAAACAGTCAAACTCCCAAAAATAAAGGATGAAATAGAACAAATATTTCATTAAAAAAAAAAACCCATGTAGAAGAACCCACGTCTGATTAATACATAGATTTTCTTAAAATCCAAAAAAAAAATGATTTGATATGCTTTAAAAAAAGCCCTAATCAATATAGATTCCTAATCAGTAAAACCAAAACCGAAAAAAAAATCAATTTTTTTTTCTAAAAGAAAGCCTTAATCAGTATAAAATTTTCGAAAAAATCGAAACCTCTTCACTATAGATTTTTTTTTTGTTTGAGTAAACACTACAGATTTCTCAAAAACCCATTTGTATTCTAAAACCATTTGCATTGTGAGCCATAACCCATTCGTATTCTACTTGTGGAGTGTACAACAGTAAAACAAAAAAGGAAAAAAAATCTTATTTGTTTGAAGAAACCCTAGTTTTTCCTAAGAAAATCCTAATCAAAATGTGTACCTTTCACACCTGGAGGAGAACAAACTCTATAGGAAGCCGGAGTTGATCTTCAGATGGTCCAAAGCTTTCTTCATCTGGAAGAGAGCGAATAATGTGATGTGAACTTAATCTCAAGGTGCTATAGACACTAGAAAATGACTAAAAGGTGGGAATGATTATATATTCAGTCTTAGGGGTATTTAGGTCTTTTGATTAGTTCCATTGCATCCATCAATTAGTCGTCAACCTTAGGGTTGTAGGTATAATATGTCAAACCTCAAGAGATTTAGATGATTAAATGACAAATTTCAAAGAGTCTCAATATAATTTATTAAAAAAAAAAAATGAAAATCGAGACCATCCAAATCCGTATTGAAAGTATCTCGGGCGTGCACATGCGCCATGCCTGTCCTTCTTCTCGTTATCCTCGTTGTGTGGCCAAACAATGGAAGAACTCCCTTTTGCCTCTCTCTCTCTCTCTCTCTCTCTCTCACACACACACACACATATCCCCACCCACGCTTCGCTTCTTCACCCTTTTTTCTACACCCGGGCTGAAATTTCCCTATTTTCGAAATATACTCATATCTACTCATGGCCATTGGAGCCCCCAAACTCACTTCGGGTCCCCTCTCCGTCCCGTCACATCCACACCACCATAAACCATCACTCCTTCCGATCATCACCTCCATAAAACCCTCATTCAGACGTTTCTCATTGTCAACATCTCGCCGGAAAATTGTATGTAAGGCCACAGAAGTGTCAGTGACCGAGGAATCATTGGCACCCGGTGATAGTGGCGGTGGCGATGACGGCCGGAACTGGGTTCCGGTGGTGCCATTGGCGGCGCTGCCCAGGGGAGAGAGGCGAGTAATTATTCAGGATGGGGAGACCATACTGCTGTTGTGGTACAAAGATGAGGTTTTTGCTATTGAGAATAGATCACCAGCTGAGGGAGCTTACAGTGAAGGGTTGCTAAATGCTAAGCTCACCCAGGTCTTTAGTTCCTGAATCTCTCTCTCTCTCTGTATATACATATGTTCAATGTTGTGTCGTGATGGAATTAAACACTTACATATAAGAATTTATGAAGTGTTTCTCACAAAATTGAAGGGTTCACTCTCTTTTTTTTTTACTAATTTTCCTAGATTTCCTCGATACCTATCGAAAGAATTCGTTCCCAGTTCCCAATTCCCTAAATTCAAACTCTGGATCCTTCCTAGTGAAGTGAATAATGGGTTTCTTTGGTTATCACCACACCTTTTTGATTCAATTCTTGATCCATTGAATTTCTTATTTTTACAATTGTGGTTCTTAATCGAAGTTCCAATAAATGTTTATTTTTCTTGCTGAAGATTTTTTAATTATGAAATCTAGGACTTTCCTCTGTTTCTCGTTCTATAATTTTGGTATTACTTTATAGGATTGATCTTCCTGTTGTACTCCCAATTGTTTTTGATTTCCTCTGTTCTTACCATGATTGAATTTGATTTAGCAGTATAGGACCTTCCTTATCTTTTCTTTAATTTTCTTTTGGTGCTTTGAGTCTTCCCTTCCCTTCGTTCTTCGTTCTTTATGTTTATTTTTTATTTATGGTATAAGTTCTAGAGAGGCTCAATGCTAATGAGCTTGGTATAGGTACCAACTCGATGCTAATGAGCCTGGTATAAATATGAGCCTCGTATAAGTACCAGCTCGGGAGATGGGAGGACGACACCATGCCAGTCTACAAAAGTTGTAGCTTGACACGTGGACACAGTAGACTGGGGAACATTACCTGACAACTCTGCTAAACAAAAAACCCATAGGTAGTAGAGATGGATTATGCAGTCAGTGAGTGGTGGGTGTAGAAAGACGTCAGAGACCACAACACCAGGAACAAGATAAACAAAGGGGACCATAGAATCAGCAGAAAGGGATCAACACGAAACCCTAACGGCCAGGTGTTTATGCTACAGTGCATAGAGGGCCATTCATAAAAACTACCCAGCGGTAATCTAGGCAATATCCTGAAAAAGACTTAAAGCCAAACACCTTGTAACAACAATCTTCTTCACGAAGCAACATAATTCCCAAAGAGTAAGAGCTTCTTTTACACCGGATGTAATTTTAGTCCTTCGGTTAAGGTGAACTACTCATACTGTTGTCTTTATTTTGTATCATACACATAGTATACGCGGTCCTACTCCTACATACACACATACTCGTTGGGCCATATCCCAAGCTGTTCTGTAGTCCAGTCCAGTCGAGTTCGAGCACCATCAGCTTGGCGCCGTCTGTAGGAATGATTTTCATTGTTTCTTCTTAGGTTTTCTTTATTCACTTGTTAGTTTGATGGTTTTTACTCGAAATATGAGTAAAACTCATGCGAACCAATAGACACTACAGAATGGTACTGTCCATGAGAACCGGGAAATCTCCCAACCCCAACGATAACCATAGAGAATGACCCTTCGGTGACGGACCCAGCTCCTATCAACAAGTTAGAGATGTACCGTCGAACCGCAATGCAGTTGGTAAAGCAAACCTAGGACCTCGTAGTATGGATCTAGGCACATCATCTGCTTCAGGCCCCACTCGCGCCTCATGCACCACCTCTACAACCATCTCAAAACAACCATCCTCTTCCAAAACCTACAACCACCTAACGGAGTCACAGACCTCCATGACCATAACCACTTAGGAGAAAACCACCGTCAACGATAGCCAGAGGGGAGAATGAACGATGAGGCTCACAGTCGCGTCAAAGCCGTTCCAAGAGAGGATTGCCTTCCTTCTCCCTAACATGACACCATGGACCAGTTCTGGGAGCAAAGGTTTTTGAGAAATTTAGCGAGAGCTGGGAAAGATCAAAGAAATACTGAAAGGGAAAACTCCTGTCATTATGGCCGTCCTAGTCAAACAAACTGAATCCTTGTTTGCTATGGAAATCTTACACTTCCCTTTCGCCATAACCCTCAAAGAGTCGGTGATAACATGGTTCAATAGGCTACAGTCAGCATCAATTTTCTCTTTCCGTGAACTTTCCATACAGTTCGTGTCTTATTTCGTTAGGGCATAAATTTTTTGGAAACCATCTTACCATCTCTTGAGCGTCAAGCAAGGACCCAACGAATCTCTTAGAAGCTATATATAGAGGTTCAACTAGGAGTCCCTGAAAGTTGATAACATAGATGGCAAGTTTGCTTTGGCCACCTTTATGTTCGGACTTGGCCTCCAATCCCGAGATTTACTATTCTCAATTGCTAAGAACTCTCAGGCAACAATGGTTGAGGTCCTCGCCAAAGTAGAAAAGTATATAAATAGAGAAGAGGTGCTCTGCATGAAGGGGAATGCATCGACCTCAAATGAGGGCGAGAAGAAAAAGAGAGAACGTAGCCTGCGGAAAGAAAGAAGGCAAGATCGATCCCTGATGGAGAGAGAACCATCCCCCCAAAGGAGGGGAAACGTTAAGGACTGTCTCAGGCCACCACCTTAAGAGCTTCAACCATGATATGTACCACGCCAACTCAACCACCGTTCAATGCCACAATCTCTTAGGTCCTCCATGTGGTCCAAAACGAGAAGTTTGTCGGATGGCCACCTAGGACAAACTCATACCCTTGAAGGCGCGATCTAACCAAATACTACGACATTCACTAAGATAATGATCACAATACTGATGATTGCATCTAGTTAAAAAAGGAAATATAATACCTCGTCTAACGGGGCCACTTGAGGCATTACGTGGCTGGGGAGGGGAGGGGAGAGATCGGAATGAGCAAAATTGAAATGGTCAAGTTGTAGATCCACCCTTGCAACAACACCAATAGGCCTAAGGAGAGATAAGAGTCATCTTAGGAGGCTTTGCTGGGGGAGGGTAGTCGAGCTTGGCAAGGAGAGCCCACGCTAGGAGGGCCAGGTCAGATGATTTCCTTGACATCCACACAGTTTAGAAGGTCCCGTGCTGAGATTATGAAATAACCTTTTCGGATGCTGACTTGGAGGGGTGTCAGCTCCCCTACGACGATTCCATGGTCGTGAAGGCCATTATCACCAATAAGACAGTGCATTGCTTTCTCATCGACAATAGAAGTTCGACTGACATCATATTTCTTTTTGCCTTTCAACAACTCGGAATAGCAAGTCTAAGCTTGAACCTGTTAAGACCCATCTGATGGGCTTCTCAGGGGAGAGAGTCATGCTTTTGGGATCAATCTAGCTTATTCTCACATTGGGAGACCACCCTTGCCATACCACCACCACGGTCTACTTCCTTGTGGTGGATGCACCTTCTGCATACAATGTTCTGCTCGGCAGACCCTATCTCAACTCCACGAAAATCGTCCCTTTGACATATCACTTGGTTATGAAGTTCTTGACTGAAAATGGGGTTAGAGTGGTGAGAGGGGACCAACGTATTGCTAGAGAATGCTACGTTGCATCAATGAGGCAGAAGAAAGTGGAATCCGTTCAGCTAGACGATCCGAACCGCACTTGCCCCAAATACAACTTTCTTTTGCCCCCCAGATCGACCTCATAGTCGACGCCATGGTGGGACACAAGTTCTTTAGTTTCATGGATGCCTTCTTCGGCTACAACCAGATTAGAATGGATCCCAACAACCAAGAGAAGACCTCCTTCGTTATAAAATAAGGAATCTTTTTCTATTAGGTTATGCTATTCGATTTGAAGAACGCCAGGGTCACTTACCAAAGGTTAGTTAACCGCATGTTTCGAGAGAAGCTTGACTCAACGATGGAGGTATACATAGACAACATGCTGGTCAAGTCCCTTAAAGCCGAGATCCACATCCAATACCGTCGAGAGTCCTTCAACATCATGCGACAATATAGGATGAAGTTCAATCCACCCAAATGTGCCTTTGGAGCATCAACCAGAAAATTCTTCGGGTTTATCTTAAACAACCGAGAAATTGAGGCTAACCTAGAGAAAGTACGAGCGATCATAGAGATGATGAAGTCACCCACCAGCATCAGGGAAGTTCAATGCTTAGCGGGAGAATGACAGCGCGTAATTGGTTTATCTCGCGTTGTAGCGATAAATACCAACCATTTTTTAAAGTTCTAAAGTTGTCTTCTAGTTGAATGAGAAATACGAAGAAGCTTTCTAAGTCCTAAAAGTTTACTTGGCTTCACCCCCCGTGTTGGTTAGCCCAAGAGAAAGGGAGGTCCTCATTTTATACCTTGCAGTATCTGAATTTCCTGTTGGCGCTGCCTTCATAAAAGACAAAGAAAAGGTACAATAACCCATCTATTTCTGTAGCATATCCCTCATAGGAGTCGAATAGAGAAATCCCTAGAAGCTCATCTTGGTTCTCTTTATTGCAGCCAGAAGACTGAGGCCATACTTCTAGCTTGTACCATTAAAATTCCAACCGACTAACTCATGAGGTAGGTCTTACACAAGTTGAATTCGTCTAGAAGGCTAGTCAAGTGGGCAGTAGACCTCAACAAGTTTGATATAAAGTTTAAACCCAGAACAACATTAAGGGCCAGGTATTAGTCGACTTCATTGTAGAGTTCACCCCCCAGATTGAAGACTAACCCAAAAATCTTGACCTCGTCGCAGACATACTAACTTGGAGACTGTATGTGGATGGCGCCTCGAATGCACAAGGAAGCGGAGTCGGCCTCATCCTGATGTCCCTTGAAGGACACAATCCTGAGTTGTGCTGAGATTTAGCTTTCAAGCCTCCAACAACAAAGCCGACTGCGAAGCCCTCAAAGTTGGACTTAATTGGGCCCTGTTAATAGAAGCATAACATATTATTATTAATAACAACTCCCAATTGGTGGTAAGGCAGATCGAGGATGAATATGCAACCCGAGGAGATAAGATGGCTTTTATACTTGAGAAAGGTTTAGGTTCTACTTAGAAAATTTGTTCATATTAAGCTCACCCAGATTCCCGAAAAAGAAAATAGTCGAGCTAACACACTTGCAAAGTCGGCCACAGTGGCCTAATAGGACCTTAATGGGACAACGCTTATGGATCTTCTACTCGAATCAAGGGTTCAGCTCGACGAAGATCAAGCTATGCCAGTTGAGAACGTATCCTAAATGGACCCCATCATCGCCTACCAGCAGAATAGGGATCTTTCGCATGATTGAAAGGAAGCAACTAAGTTAAAAAGCAAGGTGTCTCGATTTACCATGGTGCAAGGTAAACTTTACAAACGTGGCTTTTTATTCCCTCTACTAAAATGTGCCACTGAGCTTGAAGCAGACTATGCTATGAGAGATATACATGAATGTACATGTGGGAATCACATTGGAGCACGGACCCTCGCCAATAATGTGTTTTGACAAGGATACTTCTAGCCCATAACGGTGAATGATTCGAGGGAAATAGTGAAGAAATGCCAGGCATGTCAAATCCATAAAAATTTGCCATACTGCCCACCAGAATAGCTCACACCGGTGGTTAGCCTGTGGTTGTTCCAGCAATGGGGTTTAGACATATTAGGACCCCTCCTAGTCGGCTTCGGACAATGCTAATTCGTCATTGTTGTCGTGGACTATTTCACTAAATGGGCAAAAGTAAAGGCGTTGACGAAGATTATCGAGCAGAAGGTGAGGAGCTTTGTTTGGAAGTAAATAATCTGTAGGTTTGGTGTCCCAAGGGTTATGGTCTTTGATATTGACAAATAGTTTGACAACCCCGGATTCATAGGTTTTTGCATAGAGCTTGGCATCAAGAATTATTTCTTTGCACCTGCCCACCTACAGTTAAAAAGACAAGCTGAGGTCACCATACAAACCATTAAAATGACGTCGAAAACAAGATTAGAGGCTTATAATACCCAGTGGGTCGACTACCCCTGGTAGTGTTATGGGCTTACAAAACGACAGACAGCCACCAATAACACTCCTGTTGGCCTCACCTAGTGAACCTAAACAATGGCTCCATTCAAGGTCAGACTTTTCTCGGCTAGGGCTGAACTCTTTGACCCAGAAAAGAATGACCGATCCTTGCTCGTCAACTTTGATCTCCTTGATGAAAGAAGAGATATAGCGCTGCATCACATTTTCTCCTACCAGAGGAATACTGCATGATATTACAACCAAAGGTTCAAGAGGAGTTTCAAGTCAGCCGACCTAGTCCTCAAAAAGCTACTCCCAACAAGAAAAGACCCTACCCACAAGAAGCTCGATTCAAACTAGAAAGGTCCACACATAGTGAAAAAGGTGGTTTGACCAAACAACTATGAGCTGCAGATCAAGGAGGGAAAAGACCTACAACATTCCTAGAACGTTGATCATCTGAAACAATATTATCAATAGGATTGAGTTGTCATGAGTAGTCGTGAGATCTGAAACATAGAGAGCAATTGTAAAAACTCAACTTCTAATCAATGAAATTTAAAATTCTTGTCGACAATTTGTGTGAAAGGCCTTCCCTCGATTAAAGGCACGAGCACTTCAGCCGCCTGACCTTGATTAGGCTTTTTAGCTTAGTTAAACATAGGCTCTTAAGTTTTCAAAGAGTTCTTCAACTCTCAAAGGTGCGAGCTTTTCAACTGTATAATCTCGACTAGGCTTTTTAGCCTAAGAGCTTTTCAATTCGGTTAAACACAAGCTCTTCAGCCTTCAATGAATTTTTCAACTCTCAAAGGCACGAGCTCTTCAGTTGCACGATCTCAACTAGACTTTTCAATTTAAGAGCTTTTTAGCTCGGTTAATCATAGGCTCTTCAAGTTCAAAGAGTTCTTCAACTCTCAAAAGCGCGAGCTCTTTAGTCGCGCGACCTCGATTAGGCTTTTCAGCTTAAGGGCTTTTCATCTTGGTCGCGGGCACTTCAGCCTCCTAAATTTTTTAAGGAGTTCATAAACTCTATAAATTCCTTAGCTAAAGAGCACACAAGCTCCGTAAAATGAAGCAACAAAACAAAAGAAACAAGAGAACAAAGGGGCCATGTAACATTAACAAAAGCCCAAAAGAAGTTTACAAGAAGCATAACAAAATATTCATGCCGGGATAATTCCTAAAATTATTTGAGATAGCGACCTCCAACCTGATGAACCTAAACCAATCACAGGGTCAGAAAAAGGGGGCCAGGTCAACACTCGACTTATCCCCTCCAAAGCTTAAGTCAGTCTCAAGAATCAAGGTTCCAGCTCAATGAATAATCTTTTTCTGGTTTAATCTTGCGTACCTTTGTTCATTTTACTGAGTATTTATACATGAATTAACAATGATTGTCAAAAGACCTCCAGTCCCATCTGGACATTTAATGTCTGACAGGCCACCCCTCGCGCAATGAGTGTTCTACACTCAAGTCTTCTCCCAGTTAATGCTGGGATGATGGGACGGGTGTTCGGTGCCATGACAATCATTTATATACTTCCCCGAGTATCCACATCCCTCCGATCGGCGTCTGACACCCGTCAGAGCATTGAACACTCGGGGGAATAGTTCCTTGGGGAGAGTCGATCGTATATACTCGGCGTAGTAGCCATCAATGCCTAGCCATCTTGATAGTAGGCCTAGACTCTCAGAGTACAGGTGCTCGCAGGCGCACATTTAATAGCCTTGTCACCATCATTAATTTCGCCATAAATGAAGGGTCATATCGTATTAAATATGGTACCAATTTTTGTACTCGGCTCCTCCGGGATACCACACCTCGGCTTATCTCCTCGACGCCTTTTGGACATCACAACGGCTTTAATATTCCACATGCCAGTCTGGGGGCTGTAGAGCCACCTAGAGTCCTGCCAATTCAAGATCCTACATTCCTCCTTTTTCGCTCCATGACCTCTCTTTTTAGCCCAGCATTCTCCTTTTTCAGCTTGTCCCTTTCTTTCTTAGCCTCAAAGAGCTACCTCTTTAACATGGCTAGCTCGAACGCCATCTCTAGCTCAATGACTGTAAATCTCCTCTCGCTAGACGAGGGTTCCAAGGGAGGAGATGAGGAAGACCCCTAGAATCTCTTCCTTTTCCTTCTCGTGGAAGTAGCAGTGCCTTCTTTGAAAATTGCAGAAGGAAAATCTTCGTCATTGATAGGAGGAGAGGCAAATTGGAACAACAGTAGGAACGGCAGTTGAGATGACAACCAGCTCGGGGCCAAGCCTAAACCTGAAAAGGTTCCGAGTGTGACTAATGTGGAGAAGGGAACTGCCTTAGCTTGGCTAAGGTGACAGACCCTTGCGACCTTATCAAGAGTCAGCCCAGGATCACCTACATCAACACAAAAGCTACTAGCTTCAAGAAAAGGAGGTGTAACACGAGGGTGTCTTTCCTACTTGGAAAGGCAAACTATCTCCTTACCTTTGTTCGAAATACGTCCCCAAGAGCGAGGCACACATAGATGGTCTGTGTATGCCTTGTTGGATTCCCAGGCGTCCCCAAAAACAAAGAAAAAATGCTACGATCACCCCTCGGGGGAGCTAGGGGCGTTGAGGACTTACATCGGGACTTGGAACCTCCATGTGAACCAGTCATAGTTGGGAGGAAAGTCATCGTCAAAGCGAAAGAAATAAAGGAACTCAAAAACAGAGGGGAAATGGTCATGTCCATGCATACGGTAGAAGAGGAAGAAACTCACAAGGGTGACCCACCCTTCTGGTGAAAGCCATTAGGGGCATAGCCCAAAAAAGGCTATAATTTACCTGATTGACGAATGAATGTGGTGATGGAGCCCTATCTCAAACGCACCCATGAAAAGGCAAACATTCCTCGAAAGAAAAAGGTTGCAAGGCTCATTAGAAGTAGGGCACCAAACAACCACACCTGTAGGAAAATGGTACTGCCTACTAATTTCCTCTGCCTTAGTTGCAATCACAGAGCCAAAAAATAGGAAAACGACATATCAAGGGTCATCTATGAGAATAGAAGCACGCTGTCTGAACAAAGAAGTAGCTGAGGAAGCCATGAAGAAGTAAGAAGAATACTAGCCAAGGAAAACACCCAGAAGAGATAAATGTTTGAAGAAGAAAGACAGTTTGAACAACGAAGTAGGTAACTTATGGAGGCAAAAGGGCGACGATTAGGCTTCTTCAATAAAACGGTTTTATGTAGGAGTTAATGCAAGGTTTTCAAGGTGGAGTTAGGTGGGCGCATAGGTAGGTGCATTTAACCACCTTTTTTCAAAATTGTACGTGTTGGGTGCCTTTATTAAGATTTGAAATAATGAAGAACTCGGCCTTCCAGCTTAGGGAGCTACTAGCTTGTACCATCTAGCTCAGAGAACGATGACCTTGAGAACACGGGTAAGTGAGAGGTACTCTTAATGAGTTTGAGAAAGATGTATATCTTGGACCCTCCATATCTTCATCGAGTTTGAGGAAGTTACAGAATTCGGGCCCTCAGTCCATGGCAAGTAATAAAATAAAGTCTTGGGAACTTAACTCGCAAATTTGGCACAATCAACGAAAATCATACTCTAACTAGGTGAAGACTTCCTTGGAGCAGGTGGACAAGGGAGATATGGAGCATCCAAAAGGAGCTAAAAGAGGTTATCATTCCATTTAAAAAGAGGGATATTTACATACATTATGAACTTGCATACATTTCAAAAAAAAAAGAGAAAGGAAAGAGGACGGTGCGTGCACGAGTAGAGGTCCTCAAGGCTTCGAGGTAGTCGGATTAGGATCACCATCACCACCATCACCAGGGAGCCTTTATAAGGAGGGTTGAATTGAGGCTCAAACTTGTCAAAGTCGAGATCAAGGAACTTTTCGGTGGCTTACTTCTCAAAGTTGAATAACCCATCCACAAAAGCTTTGGTAGCTTCCTTCTTTGATTTCTCTATCTCCCGTTTCTATTTCTCGATCAGTCGTCGCTCCGTGCTCAAAGATTCTTCTAGGTCAGTAATGATTGCGTGGGATTGAGCCAGCTGGGCCGTTAACTCCATGTTCTTGGCTTGTAAGCTCCCTAACTCATCTTCTCCTCGACTCAACTGACGTCGCAAAGAGATCTTTGAAGTGGTGGCAACAATAATTGTTAGAAAACCTGGGCTCTCTACTCGAGGGCCACCTCCAGGTTAGCCTCCAACCCTGAGCCCCAATGCAGCAGCTTAGCCAACCTTGCCTCTCTTCTTCGCTATCACCCCTAGATGGTGGATTTCCCTGCCTAATGTGCAGGCATGAGTTGCAACTTGAAAGCACATTAAAATGGGAAGTGCTTGTAAGGCTAAAGTTAGAAAAGGTAAAGCGATAGGTCAAACCTCAAGAAGAGCATGTAAAGAATTTCAGGTCCCGGCCTTGAAGGGTAGGTCGATGGAGAAGCGGAGGTTGACTGGAGGAATTAGTTCCATGAAAGCTCAATTAGCTTTGGTCACGTCGTCCAACAGACTCTTGTCAGAACCTTAAATCGTGATTGCATCGGTATGCCTTGAGCTGGAGCCTTCAACAGGATCCATGTTGCACGAGGCCCACCTCGAGATTAATGGACACGATCCCGGTAGTGGCTTTACCGGCAGTCGATGAGGTTGAGGTCCAGACTTGAGGGCTTGGTGCGGGACTATCCTGGGCAACCCTCGCCCTTTTGGCAGGAGGCTTGGGGTCTCGTCCTGACCTCCTTTGGCCCAATTGCTCCATGATTGCATCTCTCTTGTATAGCAAATACGTTGGGCCTGAGAAAATAAGACAATTAAGGGAGCGAATCAAGAAGACCCCGTAAAAGACAAGGTAATCAAACTTTGTAAGAAAATTAGGCACTTACTGCTCAAGATACTAGATGGGTCGGGTCCCATTAGCTCGACATAAGAGAAGGGCAAACGAGCTTGAGTTTGATCAATTAGAGCTCGTGCTTCTCCAGTTAAGCTCGGATACTCGTTTGCCAATGAAAGATAAAGTTAAAACCATTGAAGCAAATGATGAGCAACTGAGTAGAAGAAAACTCACCAAGATGAGCACGACGCCCCAGACTATGGAAATGCAAATTGACGAGATAACCTAGGAAGCAAACTCCCAACCTTCGGGCTCAAGTGGAAGGGCGGAGCTTGGAGTTTCCCCTCCTCTTCTCCCTACAAAACAGTAGAGCCCAGACAACTTCAAAGGACGAAAAGTTTGAGAAACTCCGCTAGAGAAACTCGTAGCCGCATGAACTGATGCTCCCATAGAATCGGGAATGCGAAAAGAATAGCCCAACCCGACGACAATAACATGGCGGGACAAAAATTGAAGAAATGGAGACCCTTCCTCACAAAGGGAGGATGGGAAAACTTGAGGCTCAGTTGGAAGGGGACCTCAAAGAAGCAAACCCTATGTCCCAAAGACCGGTGGTAGGGGTCATCGCCCGTAGTGTGAACCGATCCACCAGCGGGAAAATCATTGTTGCTAGATAATGCGTGGGCCTCCACAGCATCAATCTCGTTAGCCTCGATGTCAAGGAAGGTTTCTCGCAGGGTGTCATACCCAGAAGTAGAGAGGTGAGTCATAGTGAGAACTTAAGAGAAGGGTCTAAAAAATTAGAATGGAGAATTTGCTAGAGAATGAAGTAGAAGATACTCAAGCAAAGTGGTGAGAGCCTAGAAAAAAGGTGCGCAATATTTAAAGGGAGTTTTGGTGGTACACGTCCCTCCAAAAAAAGGTAATAAATGCACTTCCATTGCATTAACTGTGTCAGTCACGTGTCACAAAACATGGGGAATGAGCGCAAATTTTGAGGAGACTCTCATTATCATAGGCACGTAGATTCAACTAAAGAAAACTGTCAAACTTTGAAGACACGAAAAGATAAGATAAAAAGGTTTAAAATGACCCTAATGATCCTAAACAGCTCAAGCATGAACATTCAGTTCGAGCTTCAAAGAAAGAAATTCTCCACATCTTTCACGAGACAAGTCTCGTTAGCTCATGAAACGTCTGGGTTCGTAAGGACAAGCCCTTCAAGAGAGTGGCTCGACCAAGTCAAGATTGGGCGGCTTGCCAAGCAACTCGCCATGAGCAAGTAAAGGCTAATACAACTTAGGGGAACGAAGTTCACCCCACTCGTCCCTCCAAGACCAAGTGCCAAGAAGGATGCAGCAAAATAAAAGGGGAAAGATAGAGGAAGCAAGCAGAAAAACTCACAAGAACCATCAAGAATGAAAAGAGCAGTAGGAAGGGACATTAAAAGTAGGAAATAAAATTAAAGTTACACAAATTTTGTTACAAGCCCAAATTACTAATATCAGATTACAGTTCACCATGAAATCCTATAACTAATGAACATAAATTATGCAACGGGCTCTTTAGTCTGCTCAGCACTAGTCTTCGCTACAGGCTCCTTAGGCTTTAACACCTCAACCTTCGACGCAAAATAGTCTAGGTCCAAGTCAGGGTATGACCTCTCGACTTTCACTTGGAAGTTCATAAATCCTTGCATGAAGGCAGAAACATTTGCCTCAATGAGCTTTGCAATCCTCCCATCTCTGGCTTTTAGCTACACCTCCTTCGCCTTTAGCTTAGCATCTTTCCCCTTGATGGAGCCGCCAGACTCCTGGAGACGAACGTCCAGCACAACATTTGCCCTTGTCATCTCTATCAGCTCAGCGACTAGGACAACATTCTTTTCCTTGGCCAGGCCTCTTCTTGCCTTAGCCGCATTCGCAACATCCAACGCTCCTTCTGGCTGGAGTTTCTTTACGGCTAGGTCTTTCTTGCGCTACTTCTCAACAAGTTAGGCCCTCTCAAGCTTAGAGCATAGGGGAACTTGCTTGGAGGATTGACCTTCTAGCACACTCGATACGTGTTGGTGGTGGAATTCTATCTTGATGCATGCTAAAGCCTAGTAGTGGAGACATATATTGTAAGAGAACAAAAAAAGAAGGGGAGAAAGAATTCGAATGCTGCATTCCAGGGGAAAAAATAGGACACAATATCTCGGCCAACCTCTGGATAGCATGCTTGGCCTTCCTCTCAAAGATAACATTCACAGCTTTGTTAGGGTCCTTGGTAGGAACTAAGCCATCTAGCGCGTCCACAGTTGCCACAGGATCGTGGAGGATCCCACTGCCCCTTATATCCACTTCAAGAGGATCCTTTGTCGTCTCTACTTTGTTAGGGGGCGTCGTTGGAGAAAGAGTTGAAGCCATCCTAATGGGCTCGGTTCTGGCAGTCTCGGATCTGTTTTTGGGTGGTAGTTCAGGCTGTGAGGAAGGGGGAAGGTCGATCTCAAGGGAGATCAGATCTTCTTGTCCATGCCCCGAGGGGATACTTATCGACTTTGACTTCTTTGGAGAAGGGAGCCTGGAAGTTTTCATCAACTTTCTCTTTCTTTTCTTCATATTTATAAATCTCGCCGCTATAAGTTCAGGATCCATCTGATCAAGGGAGTGTTTAGGCAATATTTCAATGGTGGTGGTCTGAGTAGGCAATGTCTCCATCGGGCACTTAGCAAGTTTCTCGGCCACTAGAGCAGAAAAAGGCTTAAGACTGTAGGCATAAGCTAAGGTCACTCTTTCAGCCTCTGTAGCATCTAGAAAAGGGTGGAAATTTGTGAGCGAGATAAAAGACAGGTTAGAACCATGACAAGAACACATTTAATAGGCAAACCTTCAGATGATGTTCATACGTGTGTTCCTCGGAACCCCCCAAAATCTGGGAACGCAGGGAATATCACCATGTGTTCCTAATAACTCATTAAGAATTACCTCGGACAAAGAAGAACTTTGGTTTCCACCCCTTGTTAGAAGAAGGTAGTCTGGAAATTAGACTCTTCACCTTCACCTGCTTGGCAACATAGAAAAAGCCAAGAGCAGGAAAGGACGAAAGCTGGATAAGGTGGGCAAACTCACGAATGGTGGGTGAAAAAGTGTTCCCACTTTCGTATCAATGAACAAGAAGGCCAACCAGCAAGCCCCAACTGTTAGGGAAAACCCGTGCTAGACACATTGTAGAAGAAAAAGGAACACATTGTGGAAAAAGCCTAGAGCAGGAGAGGACGAAAGCTGAAAAAGGTGGGCAAACTCACAAATGGTGGGTGGAGAAGTGTTCTCACTTTTGTACCAATGAACAAGAAGGCCAACCAGCAAGCCCTAATTGTTGGGGAAAATCTGTGCTGGACACACATTGTAGAAGAAGAGGACATCTCGAACGAAGGGATGAATAGAGAATTTGAGGCCAGCTTGGAACGTCGAGGTGAAGAAACAGGTTATCCCAGGAATAGATGAGTTGCACACCTCGTCCTCTTGGGGAGAATGAAGTAGAATAGAAGCAGGAAATGAGTATTCCTCCCTTTCGGCTTACAAGTCATCCTTGTTGATACGACTCAGAGTCGACTCGGCCTAGCAAGTGTGATAAGAAAAGTCTCATCGGACCTTTTTCCTCTTAGGCCATAGGAA